AAAAAAAAAAAAAAAAAAAAGAAAGAAAGAAAGCCAACATAGGATGTATATCATAGATAATGTGGCACAGCCCCCACCCCCACTGGGGTCAAGGATATTACTACATAATCAGATACAGTAACAGTTTTGCAGCAGCAAAAATGCCATACCAAGAGGGGCAAAGAAAAGTCACACACTGCCTTATATCATGGCAGGGCAGGTTTTGCAGTCAAATGAGTTCTCATACCAATGGTGCAAGAACAACTTGACTTTCAGAGCGTTTGGGATTTCAGAACTGCAGCTAAGACCTGTATTAGTCTCTAATCTTTTCAGTCCTTCTGAAATAGTTAACGTATATTTTTTTAAAGGGCTATAAAAAATGGGTGGAAAAAAACGTTGAAATTCATAAAAGGTGGTGAAAATGATCATTAAAGTCTATAACTCAGGCAACAAACTGAACGAAAGGCCTTGGGGTCCAGGTGCCAAGGTGGTCTGGAGAGCTGGCACGCTAAGGGGCCTCTGCTCCTGCTAGTGGTCAGGCCAACTGCTCACTGCGCCAAGCCACCACATAGACACAGGTACGGCCCTGCCAGATTTTCTGGTTTATCAAGAGGAACTGAAAATCTGGTGCTTTCTGGGAATTTAGTTGACAATGGCCAAATAAAAGACACCTGTGGGCCTTGTTTTCAGTCTCCAGTCTGGGAAGTGGATGTGAAATAATCACCTAATGAAGGCCTTCTTCAGAGAATCCTCCATCACAGCGCTGGAAGAGGCCCGAGGCATTTGTAGCCTAAAGGCTCGCAACGCCCTACAATTTTGTGTGTTTTTGCACATGAGCATTTTGGGGGAATGGGGATCAGATCTAAATCTTTCATCACATTCTCAAAGGAGCCCATGTACCTGAAAGGGTTAAGAACCACTCGTCTGGGCCAGCTCCCCTCATTCTATAGAGGAAGAGGCTGACTCAGACAGGGAGATGGGCTTGCCTGAGGTCTCACAGCAAATCACTGGCAGAGTGTGGCTGGGTCAAATGGAGAGGAGACTCTCACTCGCTCCACACCCCCGTTTACCCTGCTTTCAGCAGGCCTTGCTGCTGGCCCGGCCTGGTGCACTCAATGGACAGTCTCACCTGTGTGGGAAGCCCGGCCCGGGGCTGGGAGGTCAGAAGAGCTCCCTGGGTTTGCTGAGGTAGCTGGAATAGATTTGGTGTCGGTAGCAGGCCTGGAGGGACAAGGGGAAATACACAGGGTGAGGGGGAGGGGAAGGTGAGGAAGTTCTGTAGAGGTGTCAGGGAGGCCATCTGGGGTGGGGGGCCTTACCTGGCTGGCTCTGCTGGGCCTGCGGTAGCAGGAACTGAGCAGGTGGCTGGAGGTGGTGGCCTGGCACAAGCACCAGCTGCTGGAGCTGGAGGAGCTGCTGTATGTCCTGGCAGGGAGCGGGGTGGACAGAAAGACAGCCTGAGTCCTGGCTGGGTTTCATCCTCTCTGCATCACCTGAACCCTGAGGGGCTGAAACCAGGAAGCTGCTCCACATGGCAATCTGGCACTGGGCAGTGAGGGATGGTCCACTCGATCTTTGAATGGCATCCCTGAGCTAAGGGCACCCAGAGGCTTCTCTCTACCATGGGGTACCAGACAGTCCCAACTGGGCAGTCGTGGGAGGGCTCACTCTTTATTTACCCCTTCTTTCTTTCTTTTTTTTTTTTTTGAGATGGAGTCTCGCTCAGGCTGGAGTGCGGTGGCCTGATCTCAGCTTACTGCAAGCTCCGCCTCCCGGGTTCATGCCATTCTCCTGCCTCAGCCTCCCGAGTAGCTGGGATACAGGTGCCCGCCACCACTCCTGGCTAATTTTTTGTATTTTTAGTAGAGACGGGGTTTCAACATGTTAGCCAGGATGGTCTCGATCTCCTGACCTCGTGATCCGCCCACCTCGGTCTCCCAAAGTGCTGGGATTACTTTGGGAGTCACCGTGCCTGGCCACCCTTTCTTGATGAAATATTTGCCTTGTTTTAACATTTCCACAGAAAAAATAGAATTATTTAAAAATGTAAGCCAGGCCGGGTACAGTGACTCATGCCTGTAATCCCAGCAATTTGGGAGGCCGAGGTGGGTGGATCACCTGAGGCCAGGAGTTTAAGACCAGCCTGGCCAACATGGCAAAATCCCATCTCTACTAAAAATACAAAATTAGCCAGGTGTGGTGGTGCATGCCTGTAGTCCCAGCTATTCTGGAGGCTGATGCAGAAGAATTGCTTGAACCTGGGAGGCATAGGTTACAGTGAGCCAAGATCATGCCTATTCACTCCAACCTGGCTGACAGAGTGACTCTGTCTCAAAAATAGATAAATAAATAAACTGTAAACCAGACCAGGTCTTTCCTCCTTCAAAAACACCCCCAGCTGGGCACGGTGGCTCACGCCTGAAATCCCAGCAATTTGGGAGGTGAAGGCAGGCGGATCATGATGTCAGGAGATCAAGACCATCCTGGCTAACACAGTGAAACCCTGTCTCTACTAAAAATACAAACAATTAGCCAGGCATGGTGGCACACACTTGTAGTCCCAGCTACTCGGGAGGCTGAGGCAGGAGAATCGCTTGAACCTGGAGGTGAAGATTGCAATGAACCGAGATCATGCCACTGTACCTCTCTGCACTCCAGCCTGGGCGACAGAGCAAGACTCTGTCTCCAAAAAAAACAAAAAAACAAAACAAAACAAAAAAACATTCCCAAGGCAAATAATATCATGTCTGGACTTAGCTTTAAAATGCTCCAGCAAACAGTGTAAATTAGTACAACCACTTTCGCAAGCTCTTTAGCACTGTTATAGGTTGCAGCGTCTCCCCCCACTCCCTGCCACCCCCCAAAAAGATATGTTGGAATCCTAACCCCCAGAACCTCAGAGATTAACCTTATTTGGAGATAGGGTCTTTGGCAGATGATCAAGTTAAAATGAGGTCATTAGGGTGGGCTCTAATCCTATATGACTTGTGTCCTTATAAAAAGGGCAAATTTGGACATAGACATGGATAAAGGGAAGATGATGTGAAGAGACACAGAGAAAAGACAGCCACCTACAAGCCAAAGAGAGAGGCCTGGAACAGATCCCTCCCTCACAGCCCTCAGAAGGGACAGATCCTTCCCTCATAACCCTGCTGACACCTTGATTTCTGACATCCAGCCTCCAGAACTGTGAGACAATACATTTCTCTCAAGTCACCCAGTTTGTGGTTCTTTGTTTTGGCAGCCCTAGCAAACTAATATAGACACTATCTAAGAAAGCTAAACATACACCACCCTTATGACCCAGCAACTCCACTCCTGCATGTAACCCACCATACATGTGTATGTGTTTACCACAAGACATGCACTACAATGTTCACGTGGACCATTTGAAATAGGCAGGACTTGAAGATAGCCCAAGTGCCCACAACAGTAGAATGGGTAAAGAAACTGTTTCAGTGGAAGCTACGGCAACAAGAATGAGCAGTCCTACAAGTCACGGTTACGTGCCACAACATAGACTTCCCAAACATCATCAGTGAGAGAGCTAGTTATGACAGAGAACATCCTGTATGATTCTAATGGTTGAAGTTTGGGGAGTAAAGACTGAAAAGGGACACCAGGGGGTTTCTGGGGGCTGGCCACATTGTTTCTAGATCTGGGTACCAGTTCCATGGGAGTGCTCATAGCTGTATACCTATGATTTGTGCACCTTTATATATGTATTATATTTTAATAAAAGTATTTTTTAAGACAGGGCCAGGCACAGTGGTGTGTGCCTGTAATCCCAGCACCTTGGGTGGTTGAGGCAGGAGGACTGCTTGAGTCCAGGAGTTCAAGACCAGCCTGGGCAACATAGTGAGACCCCTATGTCAAAAAAAAATCTTGTTTGTATAGTGGTAAGTAAAAAATAAAGTAAAATAAAGAGAAAAAAGGGGGGATGAGGTAGGGAGAGAGGGAGAGGAAAAAAAATTCAATCCTCCACCCACCTGGGAGGCATAGGTTACAGTGAGCCGAGATCACGCCTATTCACTCCAACCTGGCTGACAGAGTGAGACAGTCTCAAAAATAAATAAATAAATAAACTGTAAACCAGAAAAAAAAAAAAAAAAAAAAAAGTAAGGAGTTTAGATGAAACCCTATTTGCCAATAGGACTGGCAAAATGTTGATATCTATTGAGCTTGGTGAAGAGTATATGGGGTTCATGACATAATTCTCTCTACGTTTACGTTTAAACATTTCTGAAAGAAAAAGCAAAACCACCTTACATACACAGTCCAGTGGCTTCTCATAGCCCTCAACAACGCAAACAAAACCCCTCACCTGCCTACAAGTCCCTTTATACTGAAGCCTGTGCTTGTCTCCCTGCTCATCTCCCACCACCCTCTCCCTCCCTGGCTGTGCTCCAGCCATTCAGCCCTTTTCTGTTTTTTT